AGTCCCTGAGTGCCCAACCCCAGAGTATCTCTACCCACAGAGGGTGGGGATGTTCGAAGTAAAATTGTTTGTTCCCCAACTCAACTCTTCCTCGCCCGGAACTCTTCTCCTCGCCCGGTCTACACCTAGAGACTCTTTGGAGTGCACAACACCGGAGACTGCCTGAAATGCCCAACCCCAGACTCCCTGGAGTGCTTAACGCCAGAGTGCCCACCTGCACCAGAGACTCCCTCAAGTGCCCAACCCAAACAATTGTGGAGTGTCCAAATTCAGAGTCTCCTTGGAGTCCCCAACCCAGAGTCTCCCTGGAGTTCCGCCTGGAGTGCCAAACCCAGAGATCTGCCCAACCCAGAGACTTCCTGGAGTGCCCAACCCACAGACTCCTGGAGTGCCCAACCCAATCCCAGAGTCTCCCTGGAGTGCCCAACCCCAGAAACTCCCTGGAGCGCCCAACCCCAGAGACTCCCTGGAGTGCCCAATTCCTCCTGGAGTGCCCAGCCCCAGAGACTCCCTTGAGTGCCCAACCCCAATTGCAAGCAAAAACTAAGAAAGCGTTTTTGAATCAATGTGTCTTTGTTTGAACATCTTATTTGCGCTCTTTCCTTTTAACGAGAAGCAGGTGGGATGTTCGAAGTAAAATAATTTGTTTGTTTTTGTTTGTGGAGTTTAGGGTAACGGGTTGAGGGGGTGGCTGTGGGTGCGGTTGTAGGGGTGTTGTAAGGGTCGGGCGGGCAGGCGAGCGAGTGGGCGGGAGGTGAGTGGGCGGGGAGGCGAACGGGCAGGCGGTCGTCAGGTTGCACGCCCAACACACGGCGGCAGTGGGGAACAAACATTCGATTTAACTTTGTAGCGTTGTTGCGATGAGGCCCTGGCAGAGAGCTCGGAGTGCTTGCTCTCCCAGGTCGCATGCTCACCTTTTGTTGAGGTGAGCGTGCCATCCTTGGCGGGCGGCTCTCTGTTTTGACTCTTCTAGATTTTCTACCTCGGCTCGGGGATCATGATTGGACTCAGGGTTGCAGGGCTGGGGGCAGTACGAAGTCAAAGAAGATGGCAACGATGATGCCGCTGGGTGGCTCCTTGAAGCGTGCCGGAACCTGGAACTGGCGCATCATGCCCCGTGAACTCTACCAAGCTCAGTAGGGTGACAGAGCCTAAGGGGCCGTTTGCTGATGCAGGGACCGGCACGGCAACGAGCTAGAGCTGTTTAGAAACAATCAATACCCGTGCGCAGCCCTCGTCGGCAAGCCTTCACAGCTCCTACCTGGTACCCACACAGGCCCACAATAACAATCAGGAAAACCCACCGAAAAGCTCGGGCCTCGTGAGAGTCGCTGACAAGCCAAGAGGCAGGGCTGGCCTCGGACCGTCAAGGCATAGGTTGAGAACTCTGGGAGAGGCTTAAAAGTCTCGTGGGTTGACCACTCAAGGTGTTATGAATGTTTGGACATGTGCACGGTTGAGCTTGCAGCCGATGTGGATGGAAGCTCCAAAGCACTTGGCCTCGGCCTCGGCCTCAGCCTTGACGAGGCGTGCTATTTCCAAGAGTTGGAGACGCCAGTTTATAAGTTTCCACACAGGAAGCTTAGGTCCGTGCTTGCGGCTGCACGACGTTTGAGCACCCTGTCAACAGTGCTTGCAGGATTTGGTAGATTCTTGCCGGGCCAGCTTCTTGACAAGACGCTAAGGTATACTGTTTAAGCAGCCAAGACTGTCCCAAAATCAAGCTGAGATCATTGCAACAGCAGGTTCCTCCTCCCCTCAACTCAGGAGCTGACCAGGACGGTGGGCAGCTCTGCCATCAGAACCCACGGCTACGCCTTTCCTTTTTGGAGCCCGTCTTTTCCAAGTTCACATTTGGAGCCCTTCTTGTCCAGGCACGTTCCAGCATGTCCGAGTGCACGTTTTGAAGTGCCGCGTTTCCATGCGCTTTTTTGGGGCCCGCCTTGTGCAGCTTGTGCAGCTCTACATTGCTTATAGGTTGTTTAGGGTTTGGGGTTTAGGGCTCTGGGTTCAGGCGCTGTTTGGCCCTTCCGGACGCGCGATCCCACACTGGCTACTGCCTGCGCCGACCGCTGGAGATACTTGCAGAAGGTATACACGTGCATATGCATGCAAATATGCAGGTTTTGATTGTGTGTGTGTATACAGAATACGCACACACACACACACAAGAGCCCCCAAGCACTCAGCATTCTATCCAATCATATGTGCGAAGCAATCCGAGGTCAGCGTAGGTCAGCATGGTGGGGTAAGGGCTTGGTGCTGCTGAGCGCAATGCTGATGCAGAGCCTTTTTATTGACTCTCTGTGAGGGAACGTCACCCTCACGATCCTGACGCTGGCGGCCTTTGTCTGCCCTTTTCTGCAGCCGGGCAAGTTCCAGTCTCTTGTCCCGACATCTCGGCGGCAGTGTCCTCGGGCATCAACTCGGACGAACTGCCACGCGTGCCTGCTGCGACGGAAACTGAGCTGCCAGCTTTGGCCGGAAGAGGTAAAGCATACTATCCACCAAAGAGGTATTCCAGCACATCGATCTGCCCAAGGTCGTTCGATGTGCTTCGTTTGGTTTGCCAAGCTTTGCACCCCCTTCAAACTTTGAGGACGGGAGCTCGTGGCCTCCCCTCGCAGTATCTTCGACAGTCCTGCACAATGCACCAGAAATACTCAAACCACAAACCAGACTGAGGCCGTGCCGAAGACAGTCCCACATACATGACGGCTTATCTGGTTGTTGCGCTCCTGGGCCCGTCTTCTTGGTGAGCAGGAAGTAGCCTTCCATGTGCGGGCCGTACCTCTGTTGGGCATCACTCAGACTCAGTGATTAAACTTGAGGAGAGAGAGAGAGGGGGGGGATGCGGGGGGCCTTAAGGGGTCACTTCTGCACCAGCGGTTCCCACTCCAAGGCATCCTGTAGGTCGTCGCCGGTCTGATAGTAGTGGTCCTCTTCCAAAGCAGATTCAGAACTCCCCAGACGGGGAGTCATCAGTTACCACTTCCCATCTGTCATCCCCCCCCCTTTTCCCAGTAAAGAAAATGCTGCTGTCCTCCAGGTAGAGGAGGTATCGCTCGAACGTCCTCCTTTGGTGAGTGTGCTTGACGTTGTCTATGTTCCCATCCAGCTCTGCGAGGGCATCTTGGACAAACCTGACTCATCCAAGTGCCAAGTCGCTTTTTGCTGCAATAAAGTGGCAGAAAATCGCGACGCAAGTTCAACACACTCAGACTGCCGCTTCAAATGAGTGCGCGTGACTTCGATGTCCGGCACTCTCTCCGGACGCACCTCGGAGCCCGGTTCCCTTTCCACAGCTTGGGCACAAGACGGCACAAGGATCATTATCACGGAACCATCGTGACGAACATCGCAGATCGCCGAGGAAAGGGCGAACTTGAAGGCCGGATGCGGGAAGTAGGAGACCCGCACCGGATAAGACCCAGGATTGGCCAGCAGCTTCCCGATCTCCTCTGCAAAAAGCAACATAGGAGCCCTCCACAGGGCCTCGAACCCTCCGGCGAGCAGAGTACACCTTAGCATCCCGACTGCCGGTCCTGCTTGTTACCCATTGCTTCTGTGCCTTTGGCATCGGTGAATTTCAGGCACCTTCGAAGCTGAGGATCTTGAATTGAAGGGTTTTGCAGGATCTCCTGAAGGCTTGAGATGTTCGCCTGTTGTCCAGGGATTGTGGCGCGATGCCAGCAGCGTGCATCTGCCAAGCAAGCATCTCCCCGAAGCAGTCCTCTGTGTTGTCTGCGTTGCAGCTTCGAGCTTCAAGCTTTCAATTCTGGGGGGCTTCAAGCATCCAGGGGCTTCACGGGAGAGGAGCCATAAACCCTGGTAACTTAAAAACACTCTGAGTCGAAACATGTGTCAAACATGAGGAATGCAAGATGCACAGAAAATGAGGAGGACGGAAAGCAAGAAACCAAGAGAGGCATCTGGCCGTCAGACATCTCCTCACACCCACGCTTCACTCAACTCGCCAGCCCCCCCCACATCCTTTTCTCTCGTCCGTCCTTTTCGGACGCCTGCATCGTGAACTCGAACTGGCCACTCCTTGCATGGGTACATCCTCTACCACCGCAGATTAAAAAATGACACACGAGATGGACATGAAGCACTAGAGCACTGCTATATGAAAGGAAGGCGCATGTTTGGGGCACATAGGGACGCGCTGAAGAGAGCAGAAGCGGCCGCTCACCGAGGCCGAGTCATGGTGACGCCGTCCTCGATCCCTTGGCCCCAGGCCTGGCGAACCTCAGAAATCAGAGAGGGCACACGGAAAAGAGACATTTCATGAATCTCTCAAAAAGAGCTCTCTCTTGCATGCTCTCCCTCATCCCTCGGCACGGCACCAGGTGGGGAACTTTTCGGCCGGGCCTCTGCGACATTCTCTGACACGCAGGGTCGTGCACTGAGGAAACCACTCGTGGAACAAGCCTACCACACGCTGGGAAAGTAACTGGGTGTCATGTGTGGGAGAGGAGAAACCGGGATCGTTCTCTTCCAAAAAGAGCGTCGAAATCTGTGGCCAACGCCCGGACTCCAGGTCGCAGGGCGCGATCTTCTCGGGCGCCTCCTCCTCTCTAGAGACCCGATGTTTGCATATAGGACAGTCCAAGGGGGGGAGGGCACTCCGATGTGAGACGCATGGGAGGGCAGATGCCGCACCGTATTCGGCTCCTCCAAGCCAAGGGATGCCCGGGACGGCGCGTCCTTTCCAAAGGCGAGAGGCCGAAAGATGTCAAGAAAGCATGCGACAAAAAATGCATGGGCCAAAAACTCTCACACTTCATCAGTTCGAAAACAGCTACGAGTGCAAGACAGCTCTCAACTTTTGCCTTTCTGCCCGGGCGAACTTCCTCTGTTGTTTCTGAATGGTTCTCTCGCCGTGTGTTCCGTGTCTTCCGAGCCTCGCCGGCAGGCGGCGCAAAGGGCCTCGGGGCTCCCATGGCTCTTTCCTCTCATCTCCTCCGCCGCTCTTTAGGACCCTGGCAGAGCCCCGTCCCGCAGCCGAACCTGAGGCATGCTGAGGCGTCCCTTTCCCGCGACGATCTCTCGCCCCTGCTTCTCCCCAAGCCTCCATGCGGCGCTTGCTCGCGACGTTGGTGCGGAGCATCGTTCGGAAGTCGGTCTGGAACCTCGGAAAAGGAGAAAACAAGAAAACGAGAAAACGAGAAAGGGGAACCAGAGGCGAAACGGGGGAGATGTTGCCTCTTGTTCCAGCATGCGTCCCTTCCTTCTGGGGAGCTCTCTTTGGCCTCTCTAAAACCCCCTCTGAGGCTCCAGGCCGCAGGCTCCCCAGCTTGCACTGCGCCACCGGGGCTCCGCCTTCTATGCAAGAGCCACATAGGAACACCCCGAACAAAAACAGCCCGCTCCCCTCCCTCCAGCAAAACACTAAGATGATGCGCTCACATGCCAGCTCTCCCTGAGCTCTTCTCTCTCTGTGGGGGCACTTCTCTTTCCTGCGGGCAGCTTCGCCTCGAGCCAATGCGGCGAAGGCCTCCTTCAGCTGCCGATCCTAGCGGGAAAGGGTGAGACAGGGGAAAACTTTCAGTGTTCACGAAGTCTCAGACAAAGGAGGAACCATTTCCAATCTTTCTCAACTCTGCACTTGCGCCTCGGCATCGCTGACATCCACCCAGGCTTTCCGGAAAGGGCACTTGTACCTGAGCGCTGAGCGTGCTCCGCTCAAGCACGACTCAAACAGAGTGCTGCAGCAGGTGGGTGCGATGCTCAACACCTAACAAAGACACTCATCCAACCGCACCTGTTCTGCGGACTGGTGCGGTTGCTTGACGCGAGCCCGGGCCAGACTGCAACGACGCAAACACTTGTTTCTGCTGACCACGCAACGCTCCAACTGGTCAGCGTGCTTCGGTTTTTGCGTTGGTTGGTTTGCAGTAGTGGCCCCAAAAACAACCACATCCAAATCCCACCTGGTCTGGGCTTCCAGCCACTTCCTCGTGCTACGTAGCCACACACACTGCTCGCTCTGAGTGGCCCACACAAAACAAGCAAAGTCAAATGATTCCAAAGCTGAATCTCACCTTGCTGGGGCTGCCAACTCATGATTTTGTTTTTGGGGCTGGCGAGAGAGAGGACCAGGGTGCGTGTCTGCCGAGCACTCAACGCTCCCACTACTCAGCATGCGTTGTTCTTTGCATCGGTCTTTTTGCGCAGGCGGCCCACGCTGGCAGTAGCGTTGCTTCTTGGTAGGCACAACAACTTGAGCCAACACCTCACGCAAAAACAACCAAATCCAAATCCCACCTTTTCTCCAGCAACACACACACACACACACACTCTCCTCGCTTCAATAGCCACACAAAACAAGTCCAGACCATTCCAACTCTCCTCCCATCTCACTTGGTTTGCACCTCCACTCCCCTTCTTCTGGGCTGAGTCCAGCCACTTCCGAAAAGCAGGTCCAAATCACGACTTGCTTGGGTTGCTTCCGAACAGTCGTGTCACTTCTAGCACGTATGGTCTGGACCTGAGGTTGGATACGTGTCACGGTGTCATGCCGGATGTGGTTGGCATGACTGTTGTGATCTTTGCGATTTTGGGCTGTCGTTTGTTGTTGTCTCTTGCTGTGATTTGTGTTGTTGCTTGTTTGGTCCGCCGACCCTGGCGGCGTGTTGGATGGGTTTCGGAGGTGAAACCTCCTTACAGCCCCAAAAGGGGGCGGGTACCCCGGCTGCTTCTCCGTGGAGGCCCCTCAACCCACACCGTGCGACTTCAAGTGAGCTGGGGTAAATATCAAGTCTTGGACATCTGAAACCCGGCACCCTCCCATCCGGGGGACGCGCATAAGCAGCATTAGCGGGACCCTTGGGGCTGAGGACCCTGGTCGGCACGGGGCGTGCCCGGCTGTGGGCGACTTGTCTCTGCGCGAGAGCACTAGCCAACTGAGATCACCAAACTACTCTAAAGTAACTGTGCAACGTGATCCATGAAAGCCTTCACGAAGCACTCTGGCCCCCGGCATCTTGTCTCCAAGTGGCTTGCCGAAACAGCACACTGGAGCGCGGGTGAGTTTGGCGCACAAAGGCCGCTTTCTGCTGATGCGAAAAGTTTACGCCGATGCGCCATGGCCCCGGCCCTTTTGCCTGAACCCTTTTCACCCAGCGGTCTGTAAAACCTTAGCCCCAACCCCCCCCCCCCCGAGCCTGAACCGCAAGCCCTAACAAAACTCTACGTCTAAGAGTGGAGGAGTGTACCGACGAGCTGAGACGATGTAGCGTGCGCCGGTCACGCCAGTAAAGAATGATGAGTGTTCGGTCCTGGCTTGTCATTATGTGTGGCCACATACTGCCAAGAAAATAGCAAGGGGGGGAAGGGGGGGGGAGTCGTTTCTACGTTTTCAGACCTCGAGGCCTGGTTCCAGCGCGATAAACCAACGCTCGTATAGATCAACACAGCAGGCGTACAGTCACTACGAGTACCGTGGGTTGTCCGGGGCGTCTGACGAAGGAACTGGGATGACGTTATCGCGCGCCCGCCCGCCCATAAAAATGACTGTCTCCGCGTTGCGGTTTGCCGCGTGCGGCTTTGCCGACTTCATGGCCCATCCTGGACTGGACTCGTACTGAAGGCTCCGGGGTCAAAGGCCTTTGATGACAAGTACAGACATGAAGAACTGGCGTGGTCATGACCGCTGAATGGGATTGCCAATGCCAACAATGCTCCGATGCCCGAATACCAATAGGCTCCGGGGTCAAAGGCCATTAATGGCAAGGACAGACATGAAGAACTGGCGTGGTCATGACCGCTGAATGGGATTGCCAATGCCAACAATGCTCCGATGCCCGAATACCAATAGGCTCCGGGGTCAAAGGCCATTAATGGCAAGGACAGACATGAAGAACTGGCGTGGTCATGACCGCTGAATGGGATTGCCAATGCCAACAATGCTCCGATGCCCGAATACCAATAGGCTCCGGGGTCAAAGGCCATTAATGGCAAGGACAGACATGAAGAACTGGCGTGGTCATGACCGCTGAATGGGATTGCCAATGCCAACAATGCTCCGATGCCCGAATACCAATAGGCTCCGGGGTCAAAGGCCATTAATGGCAAGGACAGACATGAAGAACTGGCGTGGTCATGACCGCTGAATGGGATTGCCAATGCCAACAATGCTCCGATGCCCGAATACCAATAGGCTCCGGGGTCAAAGGCCATTAATGGCAAGGACAGACATGAAGAACTGGCGTGGTCATGACCGCTGAATGGGATTGCCAATGCCAACAATGCTCCGATGCCCGAATACCAATAGGCTCCGGGGTCAAAGGCCATTAATGGCAAGGACAGACATGAAGAACTGGCGTGGTCATGACCGCTGAATGGGATTGCCAATGCCAACAATGCACCGATGCCCGAATACCCGTAGGCTCCGGGGTCAAAGGCCATTGATGGCAAGGACAGACATGAAGAACTGGCGTGGTCATGACCGCTGAATGGGATTGCCAATGCCAACACTGCACCGATGCCCGAATACCCATAGGCTCCGGGGTCAAAGGCCACTGATGGCAAGGACAGACATGAAGAACTGGCGTGGTCATGACCGCGGTATGGAATTGCCAATGCCAACAATGCACCGATGCCCGAATACCCGTAGGCTCCGGGGTCAAAGGCCACTGATGGCAAGGACAGACATGAAGAACTGGCGTGGTCATGACCGCTGAATGGGATTGCCAATGCCAACAATGCACCGATGCCCGAATACCTGTAGGCTCCGGGGTCAAAGGCCACTGATGGCAAGGACAGACATGAAGAACTGGCGTGGTCATGACCGCTGAATGGGATTGCCAATGCCAACAATGCACCGATGCCCGAATACCCGTAGGCTCCGGGGTCAAAGGCCATTGATGGCAAGGACAGACATGAAGAACTGGCGTGGTCATGACCGCTGAATGGGATCGCCAATGCCAACACTGCACCGATGCCCGAATACCCGTAGGCTCCGGGGTCAAAGGCCACTGATGGCAAGGACAGACATGAAGAACTGGCGTGGTCATGACCGCTGAATGGGATTGCCAATGCCAACAATGCACCGATGCCCGAATACCCGTAGGCTCCGGGGTCAAAGGCCACTGATGGCAAGGACAGACATGAAGAACTGGCGTGGTCATGACCGCTGAATAGGATTGCCAATGCCAACAATGCACCGATGCCCGAATACCCGTAGGCTCCGGGGTCAAAGGCCACTGATGGCAAGGACAGACATGAAGAACTGGCGTGGTCATGACCGCGGAATGGGATTGCCAATGCCAACACTGCACCGATGCCCGAATACCCGTAGGCTCCGGGGTCAAAGGCCATTGATGGCAAGGACAGATATGAAGAACTGGCGTGGTCATGACCGCTGAAGGGGATTGCCATTGATGGCAAGGACAGACATGAAGAACTGGCGTGTTCATGACCGCTGAATGGGATTGCCAATGCCAACAATGCACCGATGCCCGAATACCCGTAGGCTCCGGGGTCAAAGGCCACTGATGGCAAGGACAGACATGAAGAACTGGCGTGGTCATGACCGCTGAATGGGATTGCCAATGCCAACAATGCACCGATGCCCGAATACCCGTAGGCTCCGAGGTCAAAGGCTACTGATGGCAAGGACAGACATGAAGAACTGGCGTGGTCATGGCCGCTGAATGGGATTGCCAATGCCAACAATGCACCGATGCCCGAATTCCCGTAGGCTCCGGGGTCAAAGGCCACTGATGGCAAGGACAGACAGGTGTTCGTGTGTTCGACTAATATTAAACTGGGATAAGCAGCGCGCGGCTTGCAGAAAATCTCGGTACTCGAGTGAAGGGGCGGCGGAAAGCGCATGGTTTGGAGCAAAAACAAACCGGCGATAGCACAGCAACTGCGAACCAGCGCCAACCTGGCATACAGTGCGAACATATTTGAAAAATCACCTTCAGTGAGGCCTGCGCGACCCGAGGACCCTGCCGGTCCTCCCCCCAGTTGCGATTCCCAAACGTCCCGAGATACGCTGCGACACAAGGAAAGAATAGCCCCGGTAGCTCAGGGCTCAGCAGAGTCGGAGTTCATCGCGTTGGTGGGTGGAGCTTGCGAATCTTGCGTACCTAGTGGACGAGGCAAAGCGATCGGTTCCATTGGAGCCGAAAACTCGATAGCAAGCCGTTGCACGCAGTCCCTGCATCCTTGCACAACATGTCCAAGCAGGCAGGCGGCAATAGCTGGAAGCTGGGCCTGTCGCAGATTTCTGGAGCCTGGCACTGCCCCACCATCACCATCAGCAGAAACACTGCATGCCTCGTGTAGCATGCTTCTACTGCTGCGACGGTCTTCGCCCAGTTTTCAGAATGGGGCCTCAAACACCAAGGAAGCACGGGCTCTCATCTCTGTGGCTCACACCTGCCACAAACAAAGCTATGCTCTGCGCTCAACACACCCAGGATCTGCTCCTGAGCTTTCCAGGGTCATGACAGATGGTGCTGTCCGGTCGAGAGCGTGCGAAGATGCGTGATGCGCTCGATGCAGTTCTTGGGAGAGTGGTGCGAAGAGCGGCCTGATGCAGTGCGACCTCGGCTGCGCAGGCTAAGAAGCAGTTTGATCGGATGTCCCGTTCTTCCTCTTCTTCCTCCTCGCTGGCCCGACAACTTTGAGCGACTCCTACCTGAAAGTGAGTTCGATGCTGCTCCCGGCGGTTCCATGCAAAATAAAACTATCACAGTCAGTCCGGGGCGCTGCTGGGTCATCCGCCGCAAAGCAAGTTGTGCTGTGCTCGTCATTGTCACGTTGTCGGCCTCAAGGAGTCGCCAGAGATCGCAACAGGGACCAAACCATCTGAAACGAAACGCCACTCTGTTAACACAAGCCGCACATATGTCGTACATGATTGCATCACACCGAGGCAGACCTCACCCTCACAGGACCGCAGCTGCCTCGTCCAGGATGATTAGCTTGGGCTACCCGTCCACAGAGCCGAACAGCTGCTTCACGCTGACCTCAGGCCAGCACAAAGGTGCTTGGGGAGCAAAACAGTGGGGACCTTACACATCACGTGAACGCCTTTCTCACAGAACAAGCACTGTACTGCGGTACTTATGTCGCGAGAGGCAATATGAGCACTCGGGATCCCCTGGGCTGCCAGCAAAGGTTTTGATTTGCTCACGAACCACGTCGATGCCGCGTGCATCAGATGGCGTGCATCAGATGCATTCATCTCCAGCGTCATGGACTTGTATCGCTCCTTGTACCTCCGCTACGGGTTGGGGCACATGTGGGCACAAACCGGAAAGTACTACGGGAATTCTTCAGGTGCAGTGGAACCGAAGACCGAGGCCCCGTGCATTGTCTTTGCAAGGGCCATGGTCTTGCCCGTGCCAGGGGGGCCGTGCAACAACCTGCAGAATTCCCGGTACCCCTAAACGGCTTTCGCCAAGGACTGTTGCCGCTGCGGAACATGTGCGGCAGCGTCCTCTTGGCCATCATCCTCTCGATGTCCTCTACACATCGAGCCGCTACCAATCCGTAGTGTGCCAACGGTGCTGAAGGCAGGCTCCTCACGCGAGACAAGCTGATCCAATGAAGCGGGTCTATACATTTCCACCTCAGTTGCATACTCCGGTCATTCCCAACGAAAATCCAGATAACAGAATCACAATGAGACACAGAGAAACGACGAGACTTTGACGGATGTTGAGGGTTGCCAGAGGTCCGAGGTGCAGGCCCAAGGAAGCAAGAGCTCTGCTTGAGGCGCCTCGCCGCAAGCTGAACATCCAAATATATCCAAATCATCCACAGATATGCGTCGGACCCGCAGGAACAACCGCGCCCCCATGGCAACATCTGTTGAAGTCGCGCCGACGTCCATGGCGGTAGCAGGTCAGCTTCCCAACGCTCGATTTTTTGGCAGTGAAAACGAATTGATGCCCTAGACGATGCGTTATGGCGACTCCCACATTGGATTATAGGTGCAGTATGCATTTGGTGGTTGTATATCTTATGCTTGTCTGCGTTGTCGTCTTCACAAAATGACATTGAGAAAACACGGCAAATAGCAATGGTTTCACACTTTCCCAGACCAGGAAACTTTGCTCCAAAACGTGGTGGCGAGGAGAAGGGAGAGGCTGTTTTCAGATGCTGTTTTCAAGATCTCAACCGAAAGATTATACACCAACCCAGGGTTTATTGTCGTCGCCGATAGTGACTTTGCGCGTTCATTACCAGACTGGATGCGGCATCATAACCTTATCGGCTACCGAGCTGCTAGCTTTGCAAATGCCAGCAGCCTTGGCTCATTCCACAACAGGAACTGCTGATTGCTGCTGATTCGGGAGTGCGGGACCTAACATCGCCCGTGCTTTGTCGACATGAGCCTCTGTGAGGAGAACGTCAACTTCGTGATCCTGACGCTGGCGGCCTTTGTCTGCCTTTTCCTGCCGCAGGGCAAGTTCCAGCTCTCTTGTCCCGACATGTCGGCGGAAGTGTCCTCGGGCATCGAGTCGGACGAACTGCCAGCTGTGCCCGCTGCACGATTGAGCGACGGAAAGCAGAGTTCGACGTTGGGCCTTCCTGCTGTCTTCTGACCGAGCACTAAAGCTCGAAGCCGCAGAAGTCCAAGCCGCACCAGCTCTGCTGTGCAGGCACGAGAGGAGCTTCATTCTCGAACCGTGCGATGAGAAACAAATCTATCACGGCGTAGAGTTCCTTGCGAATGTCTGCGGAGGCTGAACCAAGGATACGCCTCATCTGTCGAACGCAGAGCTTGTTAAATCTGCCCAGGCCAGCAGAGCCGTCACCTCGTGCTCGAGCACCCGTCCGCAGAGCGCAAATTGCACTCTGCACCAGGCTGTGCCCCGGGTCATGCGTACGTAGGACTTCCATGAGGTCTTGGGCAAGCAAATGCCTCATGCCTCTGTTTTCGGACCGGAATGTCCGATGGGCACAGTCAACGACCGCCTTGTGAACCCGGCAGGCGAGTTTCTCATCCGCCACCATACGTGACCGCCAGTTCTGCAGACACTTGACGACCATGTCCGGGTATCGCACGAACCATGTGTCAGTGGCAAGAATGGCTTGTAGTGCCTCTGGCCTCACGGCAGCACCAAGAAATCGAGTTGGCCGACGCCGGGCATCATGCAGCAACTCCCGGCATGTATGTAAGCCGAGGCCTGTCGAGCTGGAGAAAGTACTGGAGACACACCTGATCAACGAGCTTCAAGGAGCATGCGGATGCTCAAGACAAGGCAAACGGCCCCAGCAGGCCTGACTATAAGAGTCTGAGAGAAACTTGCGGGATGCTGGCCGCACATTCTGCAGCTCTGCTACCTCGCAGAGCGGATCTCAGTCTACAAAGTCGCTTTAGTCTTGAGCAGCGTACCTCGCAGAACGGGACCAAGTCCAGCAATAGCCTTGCACAAGCCAAGAAGCCAGTCACCTTCTCTTTGCATCCCACGCCCGTCCCTTGGGCGACCAGGTTGCCCTGGATAGCAGCTGCAAGATTGCCTCTCGGGGGGAGAACCTCAGACTCACATGATTTGGAGCTGGCCCGCGGCAACTTGCATACTACCCAGAAGACTTTGAAGACAGCGCCCCGAATGATTCTCCGAAGGCGGTCCGGATCTGACGAGCGGCTTGTGGTAATCGGATCCGGGTTCGGCAAGATTCCGTGACTCCACACTAAGCTCCGCCACCTTCCCAAAGAGAACTGTGAAAAGCGTCTGTGCGGCGCGTGCCGCATGTGCAAAGCCTCGCCAGATTCAGTGAAGAGGGAGATCTCGTCTTCATCATCTGGCCTGATGCCTGCCTGCAAAACCCGCGTGGCTTGACAACTGCGAGTGAAATGCACAGCTGATCTAGAAACCTGACAGTTGAAGAGCTTCATGATGCTCATGCACACCTGACCTGACCCACACAGAGCAGCTTCATGGCCACCGGCAACGTGTGTGTCCAAGCTTCCGGCTAGCAGCTTCAGGCTGCCAGAGGCCGGAGGCCTGTGCGAAGCTAGGATGTGACAGGCGTTGCTACCTTCTACAGTTTGCCAGCTGCGGCGGCGTGTTTCAGGTCACAATGTCACCAGGCACGCGTGTTCCAGAGAAACCAACGGATTCCATCGCGGCATCGGCACGTGCTCTGCACAAAAAGAACTCTCTCGAGTCGGCCTTCGCCCAGTCAGACTGGTCTGAAGCGCAACATGCCGGCCTGCAGTGACAGAGCAGAAGTCGCTCGGAACGGATCAGGTCTGGAAAACATCATACTCCGACGAGCGTCGGTAACAGAGCCGCGTCCGCTGTGGGCAGAAACACCAGCACCTGCAATAGCACCGTATAGCACCGTCCTCTATGCAAACATGATCTGCACTGCAATCATCCTCTGCCGCGCTCCGGACGGAGCCCAAGTCATCGAACGACCCCACCAGGAGGTTGTGAGGAAATGATGATTGAATAATTAATCATATATGGGGGCGCAAGAAACTGTTTGATAGTCCACTTCGCGATATACTTACGCAACATGTTTCATACCTAGCTCTCTCGACGTCTGCTACCAGAAATCCCAAAAATCAGCGTTTGCGGTTGATTACTTGAGAAACATCGTCAGCTTCAGCGCCGTAAACAAAAGATACCGCATGCATGCACCCCAAGATCTAACCTAGTCTTTCTGGCCTCAGAACCAAGAGTGTAAGAGAAGTAGTGAAGGACGCTTGAAGCGGTGGACTGCGAGGAATAGGACCCGGAGGCAGTGCAACATGGGACAAACTTCACATTAGCCATTGTCATGGCTACGATCAAAGATGAGGTTTAGGAACATACAGCACCTCGCCCCTGGCGCCCTGTGCCTCCACAGCATGAGGTGAGGAACATGGGGGTGGCATCACACGCTCCTCCTCCTGCTCCTCCGCCTCCTCCGCCTCCTGCTCCAGTCGTTTCAGCGATTTGCACGGCTGGCAACAAAGATCCGGTCGGCACTAACAGCTTCCAGTCCTTGAGATTGGATGAGGTCCTTGCGGGCTTGGTTGGTGCATCTGAGTGAGTCCTGGCTTGGTGAGGTGTAGGTCACAAGGCCGAACTTGGCCGGCATCCCCGCCTCAAACTGGTCGCAATGCGAGGAGTTGTCGGAAGCGCTCCAACACAATCCTGACGAGACTCACGCAGAAGTGTCAAGCACAGTGTCATGTACGCATCATCAATGCTACCAACACCTACGGTGCGACTGTGGTGAAAGCATCTTGGGAACAAGGCCAAACCCAAAAACACACCACCAAGGAGTCCATTCTGGCCGGCCTCCTGCGATGAGGCTGACGTCGCTTGAAAAAGCCTGGGGAAAGCAACGTGCCAGACAAGCACTAGACAAGATCCGCTGGAGAACCCGGCTCGCTCGGAAGCATCGCGTCCTGCCAGCTTTGGCGCCCAAGTCTGCATGTCTGCTTCTTGCTTTCGTCTGCAGAGGATCAGGATCATTCACACATAATGCTGGGGAAACGTGTACGAAGACAGGTTCCCGTGATGATGTGCCCAGTCCTGGTGATCATCATCCCAGTCCTAGAAAGCAGCATTGGGCCATGTGTTGTACCGGCATGGCTGTCAGCAGTTCGACATGCATGCGCAAGTCTATCCTCCAGAATATCATCCGGCGAGGGCGGCGCTGTCTTGTCAGACAACCTGCATGGTTGAATTATTCGCCTCGGCCCCGGCCGAAGCGGTCAGAGGTTCCTATTCGGATTCCCTTATTTCCCACCTCTTAATCCCCTCCACAATGATCCCGTACCCGAAAACTCAGTCTGGACCCAACCCCTCCGCCCCGCCCCCCTTCCCCCTGCCTCCAACCTTCCCAACCACATCCCTACCCCTTCCCTCCTACCCCCCCCCCTCCCACCCCCCCCTCCCCTCCTTGTCACACCGTTCCATGTCCAAACAGCAGTCGTTCCTGTGCCAGTGCAAGCTCCATCCCCTCCTCCTACTACGGCTTAGGATTTGGAATGGAGGTTTAATGTTCAACACTCAGGACCTGAATCGTCCGGCGGCTTCGAGCTTTTGCCATGGTACAGGGTTCAGTACCTGAAGCTTGCGAGCTCTCGGCTACAAACGGAATAACGACACCAACTTTCGTACTGATACTGCCAATACTACTACTATTACTACGACTACTACGACTACGACTACGACTACGACTACGACTACGACTACTACTACTACTACTACTACTACTACTACTACTACTACTACTACTACTACTACTACTACTACTACTACTACTACTACTACTACTACTACTACTACTACATCTTGCTTAGTGTTGCTATGAATACTACTATTACTACTAGTGAAATTCCAAATGTTACTGTCGCTTGCTGCTGCGCCGGATGGTAGCCAGTCGCCGCATGCGCGTACAGCCGGGCCGAGGCGGACGACGCGAAGCGTTTCAAATCACATGAATCTTCCTCACCGGGCGGCAGAAGCGCTGGAATCCCTGCCTCAAACTTCTGGTCGGCGTCGCAGGTGCAAAGCAATCGCCTGACCTCAATTCTTGAATCGGCTCTCATGAAGCACTGCCAAATTCCGGATCCCTGAGCCTCAACCCGCAAGGACTTGTCGGAAGCGCCCCAACAGCATGACCAGCTGCCTGCAATCACAGGCGCCCATAAACGATGCAAGCTGCCACGAGGATTATGAGCGGCAATCTTAAGTACGGAGGAAGGGTCAGGCACAGCAGCTCAGCAGGGACCACCCAAGCTTCGGCGTCTGGTCTGCAATCACGCGCTATTCGAATCCCTGCAAAGACTCTGGGATGCTCAACCGAAACCCTATGCTAAATCTGTCAAAGTCGTCGCAAAGCCTTTGCAACAGTGAGCACTGTCTCCCTCGACATCTCCGC